AATGTATAAAACCCTAAACCCTAAACCCTTAACCCTTAGTGGGCTTAGGGTTTAGGTGTTTAGGGAACCTTGAGGCTGGAGCCTGCCAGCTGCGGGAATCGGATCGCCCTCTCTCCTGCAGTGGTACTCCCCAGAGGGCCGCTTTAGGGTTTGGGGTTTAGGGTTTAGGGTACTCCCCAGAGGGCCCAACACCAAGTCAGGGGCTCATCATAAAGGTCTGAGGAATGGAATTATGTCCGGGCCTTAAGAATTCGAATAGGGTTTCGGGGTCCTTTGTACTATATAATTATAGTGAGGAACCCTAGCAGAAATATTGGAATTATTTCGGCTTCTATATTACTGCATCACTCTACACACCCTCTCAGCTCTGAGCACCCTTTTGATAGCGAGTATAAACCTTGAATTTGGGAGCTCCTTAGTTTGATGTCATGCGGTATGCATTGTGTAGACAGATGCTTAGGCTAGTCATCTACATACTCCTTACTATTCGGGTTCTGGAGTCTCTGCATGCTGGGCTTCAAAACCCTAGACCTTACGAGAACCTGCACCCAAGCCCTTAAACCCCAAAAGCCCGAAGAGCCAAAATACCTGAAACCCCCTTCGTTTGCTAAGCAAAACCCTAAACCCCAACCCTAAGCCCTGAGAAGATGCCAAACCTTCAAACAGGGGAGCTGACGACCGCTCGCTTGAAGATGTTTGCCGCCGCTTATCGCTTTCGCACCTTAGCTTGTATCACGGACCTCGAATGGTGGTAAAGATCTTCTATAATTACTGCCTGCACTGCGAATCCCTTCCCTAATGAAAGGGGCTTTCCCCGCCTACCGCAGACCCCTGATCTCGCGACCGCCCTTACTCCACGCACTTCATGCCGACCCTTGATGACTTATGAGCCTTATTTCGCCGTAGCTCAATTCGGGGTCTACACGACGCACTCCCTAGATTCCACCCTAAACCCGAACCTAAACCCTAATAACGTCAAACGCAGCCGTGACAGGGGTTACTGCCTTCAACAGATGTTCAGGCACCCCTACTTGGAGGGCCAGGGGACTTAGTAAGTCGGTTATAAGTAGAGTTATAATTGGGGTAACTCCATTTAGGGGACTTATAACTCCACTTATAACCTACTTACTAAGTCCCCTGGGCCTCCAAGTAAACCCTAAGCATTGTGGGTGTCTACCTTAGCTGCCTTACTGTTTGATGCCCGGGGGTTCAATATTTTCGGTCGCAGGCTACTAGGGTTTAGGGTCTAGGGTTTCGGCTTCAGGGATAGCTCCAATAGTGATAATGGTTTTTGGGCGTTCGTCGGGATCGCTACTACTGTTGCTGCAGGTTCTTATAAGCAGGTTTATCGTGGTACAGCATGGCTTGGTGGTTGTAGTATGTTGTAGTTATAATATATATATATATATATACCTGTGGCTCCACTGGCATTGTTGTTAGGACTCAATGGCTTTTGCCCGAAAGTCAGAGTTAAGTTCGCGGCAGTAACCGACTATTTTGTTCTATTGTGTAGGGTTGGGGTTTACACAAAGAGTCTACAGGCTCTGGGGGGGTTGTGTTGGACGAGGTGGTGGCATGAGGGGTTTGAATTTTCATCTGGCCTGTTACTCGCAGGGTGTGACGGAAGGACCTGCACGGTTACCTGTTTGACAGTGGTATCCTGTTTGACAAAGAAGCACATACAGATAGGGTAGGTTTAGGATTTAGGGTTTAGGGTTTAGGATTTAGGGTTTAGGGTTTAGGTTTTAAGGTTTAGGGTTTAGGGTTTATATTGGGGTTTAGCGAGGCTGTGCCTGATGTGGACATTACCTTTCGGAGCTGGCTCCTTTCGGGTTTGAGGCTCGGGCTTCGGGTTTTGGGGTTAGGGGTTTAGGGGTTGGGGCTTTATTGTTTAGGGGTTTAGGGTTTCTCAAGCCCTGATGCAAAAAAAGGGTTTAGGGGTTAGGCGTTGCGGCCTGGGTGTTCAGGGTTCCAGGATTTGGGGCTTCCGGTTTAGGGTAAAAAAAAAAGGGTTTAGGGCAGGGTTTCGATGTTAACTAGCGCGCAGGCGGGGATCTGGCGGATACGCCAGGCGGGGATCTGGCGGCTTAACATAGAACCCTAAGGGTCCAAGTACCCATTATTTAAGGACTTTGGGGCCTTTTTGGATACTTAAAACCATAAATAAAGACTACTTGGACCCTTAGGGGAATCCGATAACTTAACCCGGTCCCTGATGTGGTGCAACCCTCACACAGGTTTGGCTAAGGGCCGCCTGAAGAAGGAGATGAAGTGCGTCGCGTGGAAATGATCTTGGGTGTTGCTTTGGTTAGAAGCTGCGGCTTCTTTCAAAGCAGCGGTGGTAAAGACTGGAAGTTTGGCCGAATCGAAGATGGCTGCTGCTGCGTTTTTCGCATTGTGTTATTGGAAGAAAGGTTCCCAGCAAGCGGATGCAGATGAGAAGGAAGCTCATGACCCGCCGATGAGCGAATTCAAGCTTGAACTGAATGCTATTTTAACCTCCAATCAAAAGCCTAGACTCAAATCCGAAACCTCGATTTTCTAACGCTTCACCCTGCATCCAAGCCATTCGCCCTTCAACCGCCCTCTACACCCAAACCCACAACCATTGAAAGCCTACAGCAAACCTCTCACAAGCTTCTTGCAACATAAAAGGTGCTGGGTCAAAGATGGTCCTGGTCATCGCTCCGGATGTCTGCACCTCAGCATCGCGACGGCTCAGACACGCTCAGATGCGTTTTGGGGCTGGCTTTAGGTGCCTGTAGGGTTTAGGGCTTACGATTTAGGATTTAGGGTTTAGGGTAAAGGGTTTAGGGTATGGGATTTAGGGTTTAGGGTATAGGACAGGGTTTAGGGTTTAGGGANNGGGTTTAGGGATGTTTAGGGTTTATGAAGTACAGGCTTCAGGGCTTGGTTTCGAAGCCAGGGTTGATACACTCTGTAGATTTTTGGGCTTTGGGCTCGGGGTTTGCAGTGCTTTGAGCTGTTGGGGCTTTAGGGCTGCGGGCGTACCGCTGCATGGACATACCTGTTGGCGCAGAAAAGGCTTAACGTTGGAATCCCTTTCCCTAGGGGTCCAAGTAGTCCTTAT